TGACCAGAAACCCAGTCAGCTGCTACAAAGAATGAAAGAACTGGCGAGAGGAAAAATAGAGAACGACACCTTGAAGATATTAACCAGTGAGAGCAGTCCTTACAGTGACTTCTGCAAAAGAATTAGAAGAACTAGTAGTGATAGCTGATAAAGTAATGGAGACCCACTAGCTCGCGCAAGTCTACGAAGTAGCCCAAGTAGTAGCCATTAAGTAAATAGACACATTACTTATAACTGTGGTAAATATCCTCCGGTTGATAGATTCGATCACATACATATTGATTTAATAGGACCCCTTCCAATTAAAACGGATGATTACAGGCATTGTCTAACAATAATGGACAGAGGTACTAGTTGGCAGGAAGCTTACCCCCTCAAAGAAATGTCAGCCGAAACAGTAGCCAACAAAATGTATCCGGAATGGGTATGTAGGTTTGTCTACCCTGTCAAACTCACAAGTGACCAGGGCAGGCAATTCGAAAGTAAAATATTTACAAAATTAATGTCTTATCTAGGGGTACAAAAAATCAAAACTTCGCAATACCACCCACAGAGCAACGGGGCTGTGGAAAGGTGGCATAGATGTGTAAAGGCTTCGCTAATGGCACGACTAAATAAAAATAAAAACTGGATACACGAAATACCTGGCGTAATGTTAGGACTTCGTGCAGCCATCTAAAATGAGTCGGGAATCAGTGCCGCCATTTGGTTTACGGGCGCTCTTTGCGATTGCCAGATTTTTTTTTGTCGAAACGAGTAATGATTATGATCTTTATACTGTTGTTCAGAATGTTCAAAATAACATAAGATAATATAAGCCAGCAAATATAAAATCTCACAACTCTACAACATTTTTTATTCATCCTGACACCAAAGATTGTACACAATTATTTTTAAGTCGTTAAAAAAGTCCCAGACATGTCCATATGCAAGTCCTTATGAAGTATTAAAAAATTAATAAACACTAAAATTCAATTAGAAGATAGAGTAGTATCAGTTTCAATTGATAGATTAAAACCGGCTTACTTGTTAAAAGAAAATGAGTCTGTACACACGAAGGATGAAAGTAGTAAAATAGCACGATACCTGTAAGATTCTTGTTTTTTGTTTTATAATAATGTAATTCTAGTTTATAAAAATAAGTTAACAAGCAAACATTGGTAATATACCTAGTAAAAAAATATGTTGACTAAACTTATCAATGTATGTAACAAATAATAACGTCGGTAACGTAATTGCTGAGCCAATGGAAAAATATATAAATATCAATAATATATGTTCTTTTTTATTCAAAACGCAACATAATAACTAGCACTTTAGTCATAACTGTTTAATTAATAGATCCACAATATTTTTTTTTACACGAACAGTGTTGAGAAAAAAAATAAGAAGTAATAATTGCTCAAAACGGGGCAAATAATGCATCCAATTCGCATTTTGAGCAAATGCTAGAGTTACGGGTTAATATTAATATGTATCGCAATAATCGTTGGCATCTATTTCACATACGTGGTGCACAAGAAATGCAAGATAGGAACTCAGAAAGTGTTACGAAAAGAACGTGAAAAGAAAGTGGCAGTTTGGTATAGCAACGCGAGTATATCAATGGCTCAGCAACGCACACTGTGCTGTGCTGTGCCATTGCACATTGCATGTGCTGTGATGTTTAGAAATAATAAAAACTGTTCAGTGATGTCTCCTGAAAAGTGTAAATCAAGTTTTTTCGCAAATACAAAGCGTATATAGCTTATGTAATAAGTTACTAGATATAAGCACATTATATTGTAAGTCTAAATGTATACTAAAATCCATCAAAAAGGTTTCAGCAGTTTGTCTAATATAATGCATAAAGAAGTGGCTCACACATTGTATAATAATATTGTATTATAATATTAGCATAAATTATGAATATAATTTATGAATATGTTAGCCAGAGCATAAGTACTGTTATTGTAATATGATATGTCATGGCAGTTTATATTATAAACATTCCTAAGGCGATGCATGTAATAGAATGTAAGCTTAATTTTATAAATGAAATGAAACACCTGTATGAATTATTAAAAACTTATATTATTTTACTTAATTATATCAAAGTATATTACAATTTTTATAGAACCGGGGAATACTGTGGGGATACATTTGTATTATTCAAACACAACTAAAACAAGTGTATTTTTTTTCTTTTTTTTTTTAAAGACAACTTTTTATTGTGTCGCGGGGGACTTTGAACGGACACAGAATACCCAGACTTAGAACGCGCATTCAGAGTACATCCGGATGGTATTGGTATCGCAAGAAAATCGTCGAAGCCGATATCCCACAAGTATGTACCTAGAACTGATCCCTGATGACATCCCATTGTAAGCGCCTTCGACACAGAACGCCTTCTGAGTCTGGGTGTTCTTTGTGTCCGTTTTATGTATGTTATATTCCTAATGCGGGAGCAGTCTTCTTTAAAAGAAAAAATAAAACAAGCGCCAGATATATTTAAGAAAATAGCCAACACGTATTGGAATTTTGAATTGTTGATTTCCCCAACATAAATCCAATTTTTCTATCATGAAATTTGACTCAATACAGAACTTTGTAAAAGCTTTCCTAACGATGGTAAAAATGTAATTGGTCGGTAGAATTTAGGATCATTCGGTGGTTTGTCGCCAATTTTTGGTATTATACGAAAATTACCGATAATACGAATAATAGTCCTTTCGCAATGCAACGTGTAAAAACAGTCAAAATTCTATCACCCGAATGTTTACAAGCTTCTTTTATCATTTTCTTTGATATTTTATCATCGCCCGAAGCCTTGTTTAGCGCTCAGGATCTAACGATACTGAGAAACTCGTCTGAAGGTGGTAAGTCAGACATTGGAGACGGTGGTGGTGGTTTGATAGCCCACTGTCTGATCTGTCGGTGATGATCAAAGTCATTTTCCAGTCGATCGTCAGGTACAAGGGATTCTAAAAGATATTCTGCTGTTTGTTCTACTCCTGTGGTATATCTGTTATTAATTTTGATGTTCTGTATGTATTCAAGGTTGATTGATCTATTTTCCTTAAATTCATGATACAAAGCTTACCACGGGCTCTCTCTATCGAGTTTATCAACAAGTTTCTGAATTAAGTTTCCCTTCGATTTTCCACAACAGATCTGTAGTGGGAAAATAACAACAGTTCTCGGATTCCTCCTGTTACAGGCGCTCAGTGGTTTTAGTCGGTCCGATTCCGACACACCACCCCGACGCAAACCCCGGTGGGGTGACGGCCCGAGGGGGTTACTACACGTAAAAAAAGGTGTTTATGCGTGGTATTAATTAAGTTAGTAATTGATATAATTACAAGTAAACTAAATACATAAAATACCGATGACTTAATTTACTAAAACGATATTTTATCCGTGTACCAGTTTATTATTAAATCTAATAAACCGTAGGTATAGCCAACATCCGGGTAATTTTCGTCTAAGTATATTAGTTATTTCTGCAACTTAGATGATGTTATTTGGTATTAGTTCACCGCGTTAAACACTTACTGCATAGTTTGTGGAAATCGTGTGATTAGTTTCAATCAATGAAGTTAATAAAAGTGTTCATTATTGTAGTGATGGTAGTAACACTACTTATGCCATGTTTTGATGCAGCGCCGGCACCTAAAAAAATTCTAGTCGAAGCTATAAAGAAAGCAGGAAAAGCGATTTTGAAAAGAGTTAAAATTGTGACTTTTGTATATTGTTCTTGTACTTTTGTATACTTAAAATTCTGGACGAAATAGACCCTTGTCGTGGTCTTAAGTAAGATCCTTAGCAGGTTGGTATACTGATAAAAGGTTTGGTTGGATCATTGTCGAACTCTTAAGTTAGACAGAATCTTAATTCCAAAACATTTTTTTAGGGTAGTGGGCTTCAAGCTATTAATATAGCTAATACAGTTCATGGCGTAGTGAGTTTCTTCAAACCAAAACAGATGAGAAAACAATAGAATATTGGTGAAACGAAGAGAAGAACAAAATAACTCCCTGGTGAGAAGAATGAAACAAGTTTGTACGGATATCTCGATCACGAATCAAACTCCAACTTGTTCGGAATTCTGCAAAAATCATCAACAACACTCACTATATTTATTTAGTTTTAGTTGACGTGTATTCTGTAATAACTATGTAATGTAAAAATGAAACTTCGTAATGTAATTTTTATATCAACGTACGAATAAGTTAGGTCAACTGCAAGACCTATTACGATAAAAGGGTCAAAGTGCAAGGTAAATATACAGTATGCTTGTTCCTAATACATTTAGGCATATTATACTTGATGTTCAAGAGTTTGGTATAGCTATAAAATAGTCAGTGGCTCTTAGTAGACCATAAGTATTATTTAAAATTTACAAAGGGTTTTATATAAAGTGGCTGTATTATTTCATAGTATCAAAATGTTTTTAATTTTATAAATGTTACAATGTGTACTTACATTTATGAAATCATTCCGGTCAGTTTCATCAACTTAGCCCCACATTCTTTATATGTCTTGGTCACTGTTTTCGCTAAACCAGTCCACGTAAAGGACAGCAAACCCAAATGAAATAAAAAAACCTAGTCGAAATAATTTAATAAGACATTTTGACAACATCCATATTGTAATTATTATTAAGTAATTTCTGAGGAAAACTTAGTTTTTGTAAGTTCAAGAAGCCTAAAGGTTTCCTATGTGTAAAACACCTGCTTATGAAAACTAACCATATAAGTATTTTTTTTGTCAAGAGTAAGGGACTCCTGACAAAAATACCTTAATAGTTTTATCGAAATAAATGAGTATGAATCGATTGATTTTAAACTTCGCTAGTACTTTGATTTCATTTGAAAGTTTAAAAAAAAAAGCTCTTTGAAATGTAACTTTTATTAGGTTAACTAAGTAAGTACTGTGGCAAATAAAAATCAGTAAGAAAAATATTTGGCTGAAAAAGTTGAAGAGATTCTTAAACAGAAATTATTTTTCATAACCGTGGATTAAGCTCCGTCGTTTTTCTTATCTGCAATCAAATTGCGTTTTTGAAGTAAACCCTCGTATTTTTCTGTCAATTCTTTTACTTGAGTATCCAGGTCTTTCTTTAAACTGTAAATATTGAGACTTAGGTAGATAGACTCAAATAGTTGATTAGTTGAGATGTTTTTTTTTTGTATGTACAAAATAAATGCTTGTAAATTTAAAATTCACAAACACTTACTTAGTTTAAGTTAGTTTACACATAGTCACTAAAGCTTTATCACTTCAACTGGATCTTAATGAGGATTGTGACCATCTCAAAGGGGTTAAAAAACTTAAATACAATTTATTTATTGTCTGTAAAACAGAATTATGTTTGCAGGAAAATAGGTTCAAAGTCGATTAAATTCATCTATGAACATGCCAACTTACAACAGTTCTAAAATATCTTCCGGTATATCCGGCTGGAGCATATTGAGTTGTTGCTTTAGTTCATCAATAATAATTTGTCGCTTTTGTAATAGATTTTCGAGTTTAAGAGTGACGATATTAATCTTTTCAGTTTCCTTATTGACTTCTTCTTTATCCTGAACAAAACATTTTTAAAGCAATAAATTTGATCTGAAGAAACTAATGAGACAACTTCCTTCTATTGAGTAAAAGAGTAAAATGCATACATAATATCCACGAGATTTCCTAAATTTCTCTGCTATTTCTTCCAATGAATCTTCATATTGACGACTGAAATATTAATTATGATTGGATGAATTTAATACAGTTATGTCATATCAGGTTTTTCAAAGTTCCCTATTATCCCTTATTCCCCGTCGTCTGTCCTTAAGGTTTCTGCCTATGTCCAGCAGTGGATTATTAAGGGCAGTTGATGGTGATGAAGTATTTGCCTTAAAATGGACCAAGTGCGGGTTGAACCCCTGTACAGAAGATTACGCACGATGAAAATGCATGCACCACATCCCAAAAACAAACACATACGAGTACATTATAGTTTAAATGCATGTACTCTCATATTGAATTTCATCGATTAAGGAAATAGGAATAGACGCATGAGTCGTTCTTAAGGGTTCCGATTTCTCTATTCGCTATTACGAAATATAAACAGGATTAGTTGTAATTAATACTTTTAATTTTGTATTGTTGTTCTAAATGAGCCTGCCAAGACAGTTCAATCAAACGAGACAGTACCGACGCAATTCCCCGTTCCCGTTACCATCTAAAATTGACATTAGAATATCATTTCAACGCGATCTTGCTTCCTTGCAATTTTTTTGAATTAACAATGCAATATCGGCCTAACAAAGCAACCCTTTGGATATTGTCGTTGTCTACGATGTAGGTAATGTATGAACATTTCATTATATGTAACTGACGTAAGGTGCTTGCAAAGTTGTAAAATATTAACCAAACCATTAATTTACATGTACAAATCGAATAAATTAGTTTTATCTTTAAAAAATAATATTTATAGTGAGTTTATATTAAATTAATTCTTGCAACTCCGTCTTATGCAATTATTATTCGTTGCCAGCTACTTTAGAAGGACAATCCGTGTTTGTAATTCAAATTTTAAAATTGGGTCTCAACACTGTATAATACGATTTGGATTCGATCTGAATACAAAATCTTTATACAATTCCTCCTTAAATTCAAATTAATAGACTGTGTTACACCATACCTTTGAATTCCTCTAATATTCTGATGGTTGCTCCATATTAACCCAGATAAGCCTACTGTCCCATATGCAGGACGGTAGAAATAAAATAAACTTACGCACTTTTTAACAGAATACATTTAATGGATTTGTAGTGACAAGCTAATGTGCTATTGAGATAAAAATTAAAAAAGGTGCAATTATAATATATTATCCATTTTATAAATATTTCATTGAAAAGTATACCTAAAAGTGCTTTGCAGACATATGGGACAGTAGGCTTATCTGGGTTTGTATTAAAAATTATTGACAATTCGATCGTGATACCAAATAATTAATATGTGAGACAGCCAAATTGCTGCTTTTGTGTATAATTTTTTTTTTCTTCCTTTTGCACTTTATTTACATATCACATCAACAGCCTATAACAGTCCACTGCTGGACATAATTATACATATACTATTATTACATACTATTATTATTATTATTATTATTTACTATTATTAATTTTACATATACTATTATTATTATTTACATATACTGTTTTGGTATTATGTTTTAAAATCTATATATACGTTTTTTTTGCATGGTTGCGCCTGTGTAGCATTTTTTATTATAATTTTAATAATGCACATTCAACTTTGTAGAAAATACCATGCTGTTAATACAACGGATACAAAGTACTCTTCAAGTAGACATCGATCGTTACGTAAATGTATTATTAGGTCCTCTCGGACCCTCACTGTGAAAAATTTGTATTTTATATTTACTAACTGTATTTTGTGCCAACAAAGTTTTTAAGACGAACGAACGAATTAAACGATTTTTTTTAATAGGATATTATATTATATTTCTAAGATATTTTCTAAGAATATATATATATCAATGAAATTAGATTTCTTTAATACGTTATTACAGCGTTAATAAGTCAATACAATTATATTGTCCTGATTGCCACAGGATTTCTGACCCAATGCTGTGGAATATTCTTCTACTTCTATATTCATTTCTCGTCCTTATTTTTGGTGTATTTTGAAGACATAAATACATATGTCGTTCCCGTGTTCACTTAAACGGAGCAATTTATTTATTTAAATTTTCTTATATTTCTGTAGGTATAGTATTATTTTCTATACTCCGTATACTCGTACCTGAGCACATCTGTGACTATTAACAGGAGACAGGCCTGCATGGATGGCTACAGAATTTGTTTCTACTGGCCTAACCAACAAGAAATGCTTTGCTTATTATATAGAAATTCTGATTGGGCTGTTGGACTAGCGGTTAGTGACCGACGCTACGTCAGAGGTAGTCAGTTCGATTCCCACCCATGACAAATAATTGTGTGATGAGTACGGTCATTTGTTCTGTGTCTGGGTGTAATTTATCCATAATACCTATATATGTATTTAGAAATATATAAGTATGTTTATCAGTAGTCTGCTTACCATAGTACATAGTACAGGCTCTGCCTAATTTGGGATCAGGCGGCCGAGTGTAAGATGTCTGAGATATTATTATTATTAAATAAAGTTCTCCAAACCAATTGTTAGCTGAAATTACCTGTTAGCATAAAGAACTTCCGAATTCCAACTATGTATATGTGCGTAAACTATTTTGTATATTGATAAGAGGATCTCGATTCAAAATCTAATTGGGTCTTCCGTTCAGAAGATGCGTCTTTTTATACGTACGCAATCAACTTTTTTCCCATGTAGCTTTTAGTTAGCATTGATCCATATAGACCTAGAGCTAAAGTTCTAATACCAAGTTTAAGTAAGAAGCTTATTGATACAACATAGGAGGAAGATTGAGATGTGTTTAAACATATACCCATATTAGTTAAAACCTTGTTGTAATCTCGTTGCAGACTTATAACTTCTAAAGGGAATTCATGAAATGCCCCATTTATTTTATATTAAATCGTTTTAATTTGATGTTTTAATTTATTCTCGTCAAAGGGAATTTTAATTTAGAAACAAAATTATGTTTGGTCAATAAATATACATATATATATATTTATAGACGCTACATCAAGCGAGGTTGATAAGAATTAACTAGCAGGTACTTTTAAAATAATTATAAAATCCAAGCGTATGGTGAAGTGAACTCCGAGTCAGGCAAGGAGAGGAAGAGGGATTACTTACAAATACGAATAGGCCATGTTTTCCAAAAAGAATTCCTTCAAATTATGTTTGATATTTTTTTCGTGTAGGCATTTATTTATATCGGAGGGTAGTTCATTAATTAATCGCGGTACTATGTATCGTGTTGTTCTCTCACCAAACACGTTAACAGCGCGTGCCGTTATCGTTTAGTGAGACTGCTTGTGTACATACAGCATGTTCTACTTTATCACCCAAATTGTATTTAAAATACTTTTCTTTCAACAAACTATATTTTATTTTTATGTGAATGGGTAGAACTTTACAATGTTTAAAAAGACCCAGCTCATTGTTACTGTATTTTTTTTGTAGGGACTAATCCAACCCACACGCCCGCCACTGTAACTCCTGTGCACCAGGATCCACAGCAGTGACCCACGAACACACCGAGTTATGACACTCGGGAAGTCCCAGAAAGAAATTAAACTGTCTTGGAACCCGCAACGAAATTAATCAGAAGAAAATTGGAGGAGTTGGAAGTACAGTAAATCCACTTCCCTCCTTAGCAAAGCGGGAGACAAAATGAAGTAAAATAGGTATACACCCTTTTAAACAGGGAAGCACCACGGCTACAAAAATATTACGGGTCCTACGTGAGCTATATTTGATTTCTATAATATGTACGGCAGAATCGCCTAAACGCACGGAAATTCACCCTAGTTGACACAAGATCCCCATAGTATACCGCCCCAGATGTCACCTGCAAGCTATTCAGCATTATATTACGTTCATTATACCAAAGACTACATTCCCAGAGGATATGATGAGCAGACTGTTCATGGCGCCCCTTGGATGATTCGTCCCAGCGTTGCTGCCATTCGTCTATGAGATCATTATAGACATCGGACTGCTGTTGAAGCAATCTTGTAATTTTACCGCGATCCCGCGCGCCCAAAAAATTGCATTCCATGTTTTGTCTTGAATAGCACATGGCTGCACGTCTTTGCACCTCGAGATCGACCGGAAGCACACCCGCCAACACCGGCAAAGCCTCAGTGCTAACCGGACGGTTAGCACTGAGGCTTTGCCGGTGTTATATGCCTTGCACAAGAATATCAGTGCAAGTCGTTGGCCTTGTAACAGTTTGCGACGGACAGCGCCTACGGTCGCCCTATCGGCCCATACAGGTGCACCATAGCACATAGAACCTAAGTAAGTAGCTCCGTATATGATCTTTAATGTATTAAATGATAGACCCCATGTCGCAGTTGATATCCTTGTCAATGCACAGAAACTCTTTTTAGACTTTTCATTAACTATTTTAATATGTTCGATAAATGAAAAGTTTATTTCTAAAACTAATCCTAGATAACACACTGAGGTTTTATTTTTTACAGTAACATTGTCAAATCTAATGCTCGGCGGTGATTTGAGGTTACCTTTTAAAAGTAGCTGGAAGGTTTTGTTTGGTGCAAAAGTTAAGCGATTACGTTCACCCCATTGAGATATCAAGTTCAAACATCTATTGGCTAATCTCTCAAGCCCGGCCCTAGTATCAGATTCCACCAGTAATAAGCCTTCATCAGCATACGCGTTCAGAGTACATCCGGATGGTGTTGGTATCGCAAGAAAATCGTCGAAGCCGATATTCCACAAGTATGGACCTCGCACCGATCCCTGAGGACATCCCATTGTAAGCGCCTTCGACACAGAATGATGACCAACTCTTAGCTTAGTAGTACCTTGTGAAAAGTACGAAGATATAAGGGAATAAATATTTTTAAAGCACCCCCGTGATTTTAATTTCAGCAACAGCATGGGCCACCATGCGTTGTCGAAGGCGCCAGATATATCTAAGAAAATAGCCAGCACGTATTGAAATTTTGACTCTGTGACAAACTTTCTAACCGATATAACAGCGTCAGTTGTCGATTTACCCAACGTAAATCCAAATTGTCTATCATGAAATTTGACTCCACCTGGCAGAAGCCGGGGCACTACAAGACGTTCTAAAAGCTTTCCTAACGATGGTAACAATGTGATTGGTCGGTAGGATTTAGAATCATCCGGTGGCTTGTCGCCACTTTTTGGTATTATACGAATATTACCGCACCGCCATATACGAGGAAATATTTCTTCAGCAATGCAACGTTTAAAGACAGTGAAAATCGTGTCACCCGAAAGTTTACAAGCTTCTTTCATCATTTTGTTAGATATTTTATCATCGCCCGAAGCCTTGTTTAGCGGCAATTATCTAATGATACTAACTAATAACTATCTAATAACTATCTAATGATACCGAGAAATTCGTCTGAAGATGGTAAATCAGACATTGGAGACAGTGGTGGTTCGATGGCCCACTGCCTGATCTGTCGGTGATGATCAGTGTTGTTTTCCGGCCGATCGTCAGGTACGAGTGAGTCTAAAAGGTATTCTGCTGTTTGTTCTACTCCTGTGGTATATCTGTTATTAATTTTGATGTTACTGTTGTTACTGTATTGTAAATTAATCTGTGGAGATGTTATTGTCTTTAATATTTTTAGTTGCAATCTATATATACTATTTATGTAGGTCTTGTAAGTTCGCCCATAGCTGGTGAGTCCATACTGAATATGAGACTCGGCTAGGGAGTTATAGAGTAACAATTTAACACGATAAGGGATACGACGATTTAAGATCTTAATGTTTGCCAGAAAACATCTTAGCTTATCACATACCTTATCGATATGGGGTTTCCAGTTTAGTTTGTCGTCAATGATGAGGCCCAGATATGCATTGGATGTTACAAGTTCAGTGATTGGACAACAACAACCATCATTATTGGAGCCATGTAAGCATGCGTGTTCATGAGCTATTAGATGTTTGTTGACCGGTGAAGGCTTTAAGTATGGTGGCCTGATGTGCAATATTTTGGTTTTATTTGCATTAGGAACAAGCCCCGCATCATGACACCATTTGACTGTAGGTAATAATATGCTCTATCTAGGTCCCTATCACTGACTAGTAGACACGTATAATCGGCAAATTGATAACAGGTGCTCTGTTTAAAACAATTGCTCATATCATTCACTTATGTCAAGAAATGAAGGGGTCCTACAACTGATCCTTGTGCCGTGCCCTCGGAAACAGTGACAGTATCACTGAACGCATCGTCGACCTTTATATGTGCGGTTAGAGAGATAATTTTTAAACCATTCTAGTACTGGTCCACGTATCCCACAAGTGTCAAGTTTTTGTAGGAGCACGTCGTGATTAAGGGTATCGAAGGCACGGGAGAAGTCGATGAAGAGTGTAAGAGTGTGTGTGAGAATATTAAATTTCGGACATCGTAATATTTCGAGCGGTTGTATGTTGATAGTAGCTTATACACATTTGTTTTTTTATACTATATTTAACTGTCCCACGTTTCTCGATCAGCGTGGTGACCCTACAGCCAAGTAGTTTGGCCCAGGGATTTAGTAATATATGGATAATTATAAGACGGCTTAACATGGAGTTTTGTCAAAGTTTATCGTCATTTTGATTGAGGTTACGACTCTTATATCGAATATATTGTGTCGGTAGCTTTAGTTATAAGCACGGCTACGAAATGGCTTTCTAAAACTTTTTTAATTTATTAGGGTGTGCTTTCTTTCATTCATAGACTCGTTAACTTGGTCAGTAAACTTTGAGAGGACGTCACTAGAACCCTTTCCCTGCTGAAAACCAAATTGATTTTTGTAAATGATTTCTTTATCTTTATAAAAAATATTCACCTGATTACAGATATATTTCTCGACTATTTTGTCGATGGTAGAGAGAAGCGTGATAGGCCGATAGTTGCTATATTCGTTGCGATGGCCTTTCTTAAAGATCGGTCTAACGCAGCCAATCTTTAATTCATTAGGGTAGTCACCAGTTTCAACACTACAGTTAATAAGATTAGCTATTGCCTGAGAAATGCCACTCTTTACTGTTTTAATATCTGAAACCGAAATACCGTCTAGACCTGGAGCTTTGTTTGTATTTAATGTTTTTATTATTTTATCAATGTTGTTACTCGTAGCCTTTTGCAATCGAATGCTAGAGTTTACGGGATTGTAAAACGCGTTCCTAACAATTGGGTCTTACATTGCGTAATTTTTTTTTAAACCTCAGTGGTTTTCAAATGCACTATTATAATCAATAATTGTAAATTGCTTTGTAATATGTAATATAAATAAAAAAATATATAAATATAAATTTCCTTTAACGAGAATAAGAGGTACTTGTATTTGATACTTCTTAGAAGTTGTTTCCAAGAAGAAGTAAATCAAAGCACATCGTTAGAAACAAGGCGGGACAATGATTGTTTCTCTTCAAAGGGTTTTGATATAAAATAAAGTCATACAATTAGATAAGGTATAGGTAAGTACCCGATGCTCGTACATTCAACGATGTCCGAATTTGAACATTCGGAGCGTGGGCAATGTGAATTAAAATAATGTGTACTTCAAATACGATGTTGATCTATTTACTGCTGGTAACATCAAGAGGTGGCACCACAGGCTGAGTGAAAAGTCGTACGGCAACCTTTTGTTTCTATACAAATTAAATCAATAAATCGTGGCAGTTTCATTAATTTAGCATCTGCAGAATTTTTTTATATTAAAACTATCTCACTATGTAATACTAAACTTGGACTTTTATGTAAATATAATAATAGTATATGTAGTAATGAATTTATTTATTTTAGTTATATTTAATATAGATTTATCTCTTATTTCCCAACTATAACAAATTTGATATTTTTTCTTTGTACGGTAAGTACATTATATTTCTACAACACGACTGGGAGAGAACGCCTCATGGCATTAAGTCCGCCTTTGTACAACATGTGCATTAAGTTTAAATAAATAAATCTAATAACTTTGGACGTACACTTGGAGTTTCGTTTCCTGTTCTTCTTTCTTCAATAATTCTGTCAGTTCGCTCTGAGTCGCACGAGCTTTTTCTATACTTTTAGATAAATCATCACTTTGTCGCTTTAGTTGCATACGTTTAGCTGTTAATCGAACTGTAAATCCGATACAGGTTTTAGTCAATGTTTTGCTATAAAATCTTAATCAAACACAAACATTAGATGATAATAATCATACTTTTAAATAAATTTTGATCACATAAAATTATATCTATAGTTACGGGTACTTAGTTACTGGAGAATAGGGTCTCAATCTTCATGTATTGGTCATGGGAACTTAAAAAAAGATACTCTTCAAAAGGTTTTTGCGAATTTATAATAAAATTCATACAAAGTTATATTTTTCCTAGAGCAAGGGAGAAAACCACTCATTTCTTACCATTTTCGAGTTTCAGTCGTTCAATTTCAATGTTCAAGGAACGGGCAACTTTTAAAGCTGTCATAGTTTCACGATATTTTCGTTCATTTTCTGCATCCAAAGCAGGCAGAGCGGAGTGCTTAAGTGAATACAAGTATTACGTAAGTGTTAAATATTACTTATTAAATATACGTGTTTAACACACAAACATTGCATTATTATTTATATTACAAGTTTATACTTATCAAATATGTACCTACTAAACAAGTGTCTAATTTAAAAACAATTTTTTTTAGAACTGGAAAAAGTTTTTAATGGTAAACTTTGTAACAAAGTGTATGTATTTTATAATATCTTAACTTGCACACGTATAATAAAACTAAGCACATAGGTACATGTCCAGTATATGTGTTGTCTGATACCTAGCTATAGGGAAACAAGTTGTACTGATACCCTATAATAATAAGGGATCCATGGGGGTTGATGGATTAACTGCTATTTGTTGTTGTTAAATATCGTCTAAACTTTCTATTTAATTGTTTTTTTGACAACATCTTAACCACTGTATACGTGTTTCTACGTTTTTTAAAAAGTCCTAAATAATACGTATAAGTAAATTATATAACTGTATTGATATACTTAAGTTACTTCTAAATGTTTGGACAAAAACTTACCTGTAAAACCAAGTCATTTTCTATTTCTTCCAAATGAGACTTGAGCAAACATATTTGCACTTGTTGCTCTTCTGGTTTAAACATTTTTAGCTTAGAAATAAATAATTCAACTCCAAAAAGATAAGTAAGGAAATGAATTTTCATTTAATTTTTAATTTATTGCTACAGACTACAAGACAATGTTTGTTATTGTATAAAATTGGCGCCAATTCTACGAGTATGGCGCCAAAGCATTTGTCTATGGTTCTTAATTTACGGCTGCTTTTTTTGAGAATGAATACCTTTTCTTTGCAAAAATTAATGAAGGGAAGTAAAAAAATCTGTATTGATATTTTTATTCTCATAGAAATGTATCAGGAGTTATGTATCTTTTTGCTTTACTTTCGATTTTTTGAGACCGGGGAGGGTTACTTTAGCTTAAATTCTGTATAATATTTTATCTGTAGGTTATAAAAATATATACACGTACAGTGATGTATTTTTTTAATTGTACAAATAAAACATATTATTTTGTGAGCCTGTCGTAAATTATTTGCTAAGAGTATGGTAATATATTTTTGTTTTATATTTTTTTCTAATAGTATAAAAGGCATCATATTTCGAGATTATACATTTCCCCCACTTGTTTCTGCTGGCTGATAACTGCTGATTCCTTTACTTCGCGGCTAATATTATTACAGGTAAACAAAATTGTATATTAGAAGGTTCATTTTAACTTTATTTTCAAGTAAGAATATCCAAGAAAGAAGTGCGAAGGAAAAATGTCTGAGGCATATTTCTTAAGGAAACCTTAATAGTAATTGTTTTACTTCGTCGCAACGCAACGTCACGTTTTGTATTGAAAAAGTTTTGTGAACAGGTATGTTTAATTTCACTCCTCAGGAGAAAAGGTTATTGTGTGTCAAGACCGAGTACGTGCATTGTATCGTGTTGGAAAAGAATATCACTTTTTTAAATATAAGTTTGGAAATGGATTGTATCCACTGTACTCACTCAGCACTGGATTGATTGTAATGAAATCTTTCACATCAATTTGACGGTACGATCTAAGGGCTACACAATACACAAAATGTTACCGGTAGGATAACCCGACTTTCTAGAAGTATCAACCAGGGCCTCAATTCTGCTATTTTAATATTGTATCCATATACTGTCGATATAATGTCGTCGAAATAGTTTTGCACTTTTCGTATTCCACTAACCATGTGAAACCAATGACCGATGACTTGTCACTAAACTGCCGCTGATACAACTGTCGTCCATGTCCTTGTAATAGTTTGGCAAACGGTACATTTTGTAAGGAAATTTTATATTTAATTTACCAGATATGGCAATTTTGTTGATATCACCATTGATGATCCAGTGTCACTACATCGACAATCCATTGACACTGTGACTTTGTGTTAGTAAAATACCGATATTTTGACCGATGTTAAGGGTATCCCAATGGCATCTCAATTGCGATTCAATGGAATGACAGTGGCTTGTACGTTGACATAAAATAGCAGAAGAGAGATCCAGGTGGCACAACATCGTGTTCGCGTTGTTGCGCTCACCAGAGTGAGTCCCACTCGTTGATTCACTTGTTGATTGTGGCTAAAACCTACGGTATTTCATGGAGATTTATGTTCTAACCTAAATAACCGGATTCTAGCCTAGTAGCTGGAATAAGGTATCTTAAAAAGTCAAATTGACCTGAATTATGAGATATAATAGAAAGCCCACTGCTTGTGACATAGAGGTAGGTATATCCTGAAATGATTAATGATATCTCAGAATTAATTAAAAACAGATTGTCTTAAGAACGCGAGTCACGATTCTGGATCATGAAAGTAAAATTATTACCTTAAGCAATTTGAGGCTATAAATTATTAGGTGAGGAAGATATTATATTACAATGTGATAAATGATTAGATTATATGTCACATTGAATCAGCTCGTTTTAAGTTGTTTTTTTTATGATAGTGATATACTAGTAGATGGTTTTCCTTGTGACTACCGCCGTCCATAGACGCCTGCAGCTCAAAAGAAAAAAGCTCTTTCTTTACCCCCTTGGAGGTCCGAGAGTTAGAATACGAGGTTAGGCCTGCGTCCGGTGACCTCACTCACTCGCTAAAAAGCAACAAAAGAATTGCCATATTGAAGAATGATGATTAAATATAATATTACATGTGTGGTAGGGATTGGTCTATAAAAATATTACACAAAACTAACTTAAATTGTGTGTTATATAGTAATAATAATGTGAGGTGTGTGATTAAATCCGTGTTATCAAAAAATCTTGCGATCACATGGAAACGATTAATCGCAGTCAAAGAGACGTTCTAATTACACTCCGCTGTTGATATCAAGAAAGAGTCCTTAGCAGCCGCCAAATTTATTTTGGTAAATCTGCCGACGCCGTAGTCGACGTAGTATAGAATTTTAGTTTCACTGTGAGTAGTTTCCCGAAACTAGCTCTCCGGGATCAGTGCACTTTTTGTGTGCAGCAAAATATGTATCATTATTCATATTTACTAATAATAATTTAAACTCTAATGGAAACTAAAAAATGGGATTGTATGAATACTTGTAGAAAAAGATAGCATGTGCTTGATTTGGAAATAACTATTCAAGCCTGCAGGCATCACAAATTGTATCGCGGGAAAGCCATGCTTCTGCACAAATAGGCCGGTCGGCTGATAGTGATGCCACGGCCTCACAGAAAACCGGTGTTAAACAATTCTTTCCTTGCTTTTTACCGAGCGAGCGAGGATACTGAAGCTCAAACCTCCTGTCTCTCTACTTCAGGGGGGTGGTGCTTAGAGGGCGGGAACGATCTTGTGTCTCTTGAGTCGCAGGTGTACATGGGCGTAAGCAGTTACTTACCATGAAGTGACCCGTCTGTTTATTTGCCACTTATTCCAAAAAGAAAGAATTATTTTAAAGACTTTCGGGAACATTCATTGTCAGGTAGTATCAAGTATATAGTTTCTTTGAGCTATAAAGCTGGTTATCCTATACAGTGATTTACAAAAAATTGTTAAAAGACAAATTGGACGTAGTTACACAAAAAGGATCCAATCCACAAAACTACCAAAATTGAGTTAAGTATGCCAAAACGTCCGTGAAGGTCGATATTTTCATGCAGTAAAAAGATTCCAGTGAAATACGAAACAATGTCATTGTTATTAACACAAGGTACCAGTCCTCATGTATGGCGGGCATTTGTTTTGAAGCAACTAAAACAATCCAATCTTCATGGATCATTAGTAAGAAAAAGTGTTTATTGGTACTTATTTAAAATATATAATCTTAAAAGAGATCCAATTCACGTGGATCATTTCTGATAATTATAATTATTTACAAAATCTATACATAGTAAATCACACAAACGATCCAAAACACTTGGAACCTTTCTGATGAACATTATCAATAACTCATAAAATAGTGTTGAAAAACATAAAAAGAATCCAAAGCACAAGAGTTACTTCTGATATATTTATTTGCATTGTTATTACATTTAATTAAAATATCTAAAGGAAAATAAACAAACAATAAATAATAAACAAACATTTAACACAACCGATTACAATATTCTATTGTCGTCGCCATTACGCCCTATGTTTCCTAGTACATTGGAGCTTCTACAAACTTTGCCTGATGGACAAAGCCCATCAGAAATAAAAATAGTTGAAAATTTTTCCGAAAACAACGAAAACAATACTGAAGTTACAGAAACTGATTGTTTTATTACACCAATAAGCGGCTTCAGTCGTGATACGGACTCAGATTTTATACCAAATAGTGACGAAAATGCGAGTGACGAAGAAGACTTAGGTTCATCGAGACAACTGAGTGTTGTTGCTTTAGTGCATAGTTCAAAGAAACAAAGAATTGATAATGACATACCACGCATACTGACGACCATTAATACCAATGTTGAAGTTATAGATAACAGTGATATGATAGAATGTGAATAGAATAATGAAACTCGAAATGATGCTACTACACAACAAGAAATAGAGAATTTATCTTCAGGAGGTCGACCAAAAAAGGGTAGAAAATGAATATATCCAAATCACACTGTTGCTCAAACTAAACAACGGATATATTTAAACTTACCATATTATTCAAAGAAAAAATATATTCCGCCAAAAAAATTCAAGTTTTTACCTGTAATATCAAACAATGTAACCAGTTAAAACCAGAGAAAAGAGAAGAAGAATTCCAAAAATTTGTTTTATTGGGCTCTTATGAAGCCCAATTATTATATATAGTAAATAATGTAGAAGAAAGACCCAAAACAAGATCTTATACAGACACTAAAGAAAATAAAACAAATAAGAAAAGACCCAGAGAATACTCAAGAAAATACACTATTTGTGGGGTTGAAGTTTGTAAACCCATGTTTTTGAATAATTTTCAAATAACAACTAAAGAAATTGATGTTTCTCTACGAAAAAATCGAAATGGGTACATGATTAAAGACAGAAGAGGACTTTCACAGGATGGTTGGAATAAAACTCAGCCAGTAGATATTGACTTCGTTAAGGATATCATAAGCTCATAACCTAAATATCAATCGCATTATAGAAGAGAACAAAGTAATTTTACAACATTATAGAAGTGTTATGTATTTGAAATTAGGAATGACGATACAAAAAATATATGATTTATACTTGGAAAAATTTGGGAATGTATACGGCAGTTCGAAGAGTCCATTGTCATTGGCTACAGTAAAACGCATATTTTATAAATATTTTAATTTAAGCTGCAAGACACTAAAAAAGACACTTGCAAGGTGTGATACTTTCACTAATAAAATAAAAAAATTGTTTGTTAGATAAAGAGAAAAAAAGTTACAACATGAAAAAGAAATTCACCTAAAAAAAGCAGAAGATTTGAGAAAATATATGAACGAAGATATAGCACAGGCAAAAACTGACGAAGAATTTGAATGCTTAACATTCGACTTAGAAAAAACACTTCCACTCCCACGTATACTAACCAGCATTATTTTTTATAAAAGGCGATTGTGCTTGTATAACTGTGGCATCCACGCCGGCTCTAACAATACTGGTCATTGCTATATATGGATCGAAGGAGAAGCTGGTCGAGGGGCCCAAGAAGTCGGGTCATGTTTGATCAATTTCATAAAGAACAAACTTGACCCAAAAGTAAAACACTTAGTGTTATGGAGTGATTGCTGTGGCGGACAAAACCGCAATATAAAAATCGTAATGATGTTGAAGGTAGTGTTAAACTCGCACCATACTCTGAGGACAATAGATTTCAAATACCTTGAATCAGGTCATAATTTCCTGCCCAATGATACTGATTTTTCCAAAATTGAAAGATAATTAAAATTTCATTAACGAATTTACACTGCTGACGAGTATATGCAAGTCATTAGGAGTTCCAAAAGAAAGAATCCGCTCGAAGTTAAACAAATAGTTAAAGAGGACTTCCTGAGCTCAAAAAATATTGAAAAAAATATAGTAAACAGAAAAACTTTTACAAACAACCAGAAAACTAATTGGCTACAAACAAAAGTGTTTTCATTAAAGAAAGAAGAGAAATATGTTATTTTTATATAGAGTGAAATAAATAATGACCAGTATTATGAACTTAATATACAGAAGTAAGTAAAAGGAAAATATTTTAGATTTTATATTTTTCTGAAAACGACTTTATCATGTTGTGGCCTACAGGCAAAAAAATCGCTCAACCTAAACTGGATGATCTGAAGTCAATGTTCCACTTAATTTCGAAAGACTGTTTAGACTTTTACAAGTCTCTTCAGATGGATAAAAATATAGAGGATGATCTTGAAGGATTCAGCGGTCAGCTTGATTTTCAGATTGAAAATGAAAGTCAGGCAGAATGAGCATTATAATGACTCTGCAGAGTTTTGTTTTGATTACAGTTTAATTATGTTATCAACAGTATTGATCTCATTTTTTTATCTATTGTTTTATTTTAAATTGATAGATATGTTATAAGAATAATACATTTTTAGTTATTTATTAGTTAATTCATTTATTTTTAAAGATTTCGTTAGCTGTTGATGAAGTGGAGCTTTACTGCGAAACTATCATTTTATGCTGGTCTTATTGAGAATACTATATATCAAAAAGGATCCAAGCCCCTATTTTCTTGAATATTATTGAAAATATAAAATCAAACTTAGTGAATTTGATTTATATTTAAAATATAACAAGATTTCCTGCTTATTTTAATAAAACCCACAAATTTATGGTACCGCATCAAAGAAGAATTACGACTTAAACTTTAAAGTTAAATATCTCAAAACTAGCTTCATGTGGATTGGATCCCTATCGTGTAACTACGTCCAATTGTGAATTGGTACTCCCACTGAGTAACCACGCTTAAAATCAAATTCTTAACGGTTTAATTAATTAAGTTCTCGTTTTATCCTTGCGAGACATATTTTAAGCAAAGATATATATCTTCTTGTTGTTATATAGAATTATTCCACTTCTGCTCCTTATATAATGAGTTTTCTGCCGTACCTCATTATCATATAAATATTATAATATGTTTAAATTAAAAGTAAGATTCTACAGTAAAAAACAGACAATATAGATATAAAAAAAATGTTTAAAAAGTAATGACTTATACCTTCATTTACTGTAACATTTATTTTGCATTATTTTCATTTCCACAATTTTTTTTTCGGCTTTGCCTCAGAAAAATACCAGTGGTTCAAATCTTCACAAATTGTCACGTGTGATTGTTTCAGTGAAGATTTGCTTACTATCGTTGACTTTTCTGAATAAGTTATAGTACTTCCTACATATTTATCAGACATCTTAGCAGTTACAGTTTCAGATTCTTCTTCTTTTAAAATCTTATTAAAGTTGTCTTGCAGGAAATTCATAGCAATAGCACAAGAACCACAAACGTGAAAATCACAAGTATTTAGACTATTATAAAAATCAATAGGAATATCACATTCAGCTTGTACTCCTGTATCAGTGAAGTCATTTACAGTTCTTGTTTCTACGTCGTAAGGAATAAGGCGATCCTTATTAGCACGAGCACAGACATCACATTCACAGGATAAACTTTTTAATTGCTGTTTCAATAAGCGAACTTCGACTGGTTCCTCATACTTTATATTTAAAAAATCGTTTTGTGTTTCTTTGACATACATTATCGAAAGCGAGTTGAGTATTCAATATGAGCATATAACGCATACTAGTATTTGAGTACGTACTTCTGTTCATGTTTTATTTTACTTTACTGTAAGTGCCCAATCGAATCCGGCATTTCGATAGCTGGATACATTTCACGTGCCCATATGAAATGTTAACTATTTGTCGTTTTAAATACACGTTATATTCATTGGTTTTCCGAAAAGTATAAGATATTGAAAATCATCGGTTATTAAACTGTCATATTTTTAAAATGACTTGTCATTTTCGTGTAGATCATAGATTGAAAAGAATTTTCCCCTCATCTATGAGTTTTAAATTTAAGTTTTTAAATTCTAAAGCTATTTGCACTTTTTTGTCTCCATCTATGATTTCTTTACCTCGAAGTTACGTTACTTTTATGTGGACATTGATAAATATACTTTATTTGGCAGACCCGTTTGTAGTCTAATTCATATTTTTTACGTGTCTTTAGTTTTTAGATTTAATTTCAAAACGAATACCTATTTAGTGTTGAATGTTCTAAATTTCACAACCAATACTAATAGTTATAACCGACCAATAGTTATAAAGTCTCTTAAGTCATCAGAAGGCACTTCAGTCCAAATCAACGAACCCTAACACATAAACACATAAATAATCTGAGGGCAAAATTTGTTCTTTTCGGGTATTAAGTTATGGCTGCAGAAATTTTTAAACTATCTTAAAATTATTTCAAAGAAATTAAGTATCTTTATTTTTAAGTAAATAATAATTTACTTTAATATGCGATTGGTATGTAAAACGAGTTTAAAAAAAAACGATTGACATTACCCACTTGGTCGCAATATCATTGCAGCTGATATGGCTTTACGTCGGTAACGTTTGTACGTGTAAATTGAAATAGTTACAGCTGAAATTCATGTAGTTGTAATAATTATGTTTGACTAAATGTGACTTTAAACCTTATTACTATGTTTATTTACGTTCTTTTACGTCAATCATTGGGTTTTACGTTGCGTTATGGGCCCCGTCGGGAACAGCAGTATAGGATAGAGAATGAGGCTCCATTTGAAGTAATTATTTCTTAAAAAGGGAGTTCTTAAGGTATAAATTTATGATATGAGATTACGCGGCCTGAACTGAACTAAAAATTATCTTTATCAGTTACTACTGTCCTCTTTGAAAAATAACAAACGTAAGTGGCAATTACGATACGTTTGTTAAACCTAGTTACTTCCTTTCTAAGCACATCGGATGTACATATGGCCAAATAAATTAGATCCAACTAATTTTATTAACAGCAAGTAATTCAAAAGTAACGAACAGATGTGCCTACAGAATTTGGATTTTATTTTGTTACACAAATATAAATATAGTAAGTAAGTACCTACATGTAAAATAAAATTGATTACTAGTTTCCGTCATAAGTCCCATCAAATGGTGCTCTATTATTTGTAATGTGTATTTTTATTTACAATTTTAAACTACTACTACTACAAGTTTCACTCATACATTAATCAAATACGTTCAAAGGTAAGTCCAGTATATAATAACAATATAGTATGTATTCAGAATTTGATATGCCAATACGGATCTGCGTCCATGAGAGTAAATACTCAATTACTCATGAAATAGGTTCCGAAAATTTATTGGGTTGACTGCCAACGATAACGCACATTGGTTGCCTATAAACGATTGCCATAATAACGCGCCAATTATTTTTTTTTTACTCCGCTATTTTTCTCTAGTAGACAATAAAGTTTTGTAACCATTATTATTCTATTGAACCTGAAAACATTACAATCGAAATGGTAAACTAATGCGCTATATACAGGTACAACTGTTTGAAATTTGTTAAATGCACATATACATACTTGAACTTATACTGTTTCAATATAAAGTGCAAGAGAAGGAGGTGATCCTTAGACCGGGTTGCAGTGAAAATACAGTGTTTTCTCATCATGGCGACACTTATTTAAAGACAGCCTAGACAACCTGATTCTGTTACCGGTAAAGGGCTCGCATCCGGTCTGTTTTATATATATATATGTATGTGTATATAAATGTTAAGCGAGGATTACTACTTAATCAACTAGCACGCAAATGTAAACAAGTATGTACCTATATATGTAAAAATATTTAGTTGTCTGCAAAAACTGAAAAAGCCATGCACCGATTACGCACACTTTGTTACACCTGCTTCAAAGATTGTTTTTATTTATTATTCCTGTTAATTTTGTTTTTATCAATGCAACCACAATATGCCACAGCGAAGCCTGGTAGGGTACAGCTAGCACTCTATAGAAATATGGTTTGATAAAATAAAAATATGGTATTCACTAATCACGTTTTAAGACATATTAATAAATATGTGTACCTATATACATAATTAATTTAATTTTAAAGTCTTTATAGACATTTCATTTTATATACATACTAGCTGACCCGGTGAACTTCGTGCCCCATACTTTTGTTTTCGTGAATATTTTCGAAATTCCTAAAAGACTTGTTTTACTTGTTTTACTATCCGCATCACACGGGTGGTGTACTATCGCGAACCAAGGAAATGTCACATTTCCGGTAAATTCAAATAAGTTGGTTTATCAATAATTCCATATATTGACATTAGACTATCGAAAGTGATTAACCCGTTAAATTTAAAAAGTACCGGAAATGATACACGGTTTGTGCTTAATGACAAAAAATGAAACAATACCTTCCGTTTACAATACGATATGTAATGGATGAAATAAAATTTAATAAAAAAATAATTCGACCTTAACCTATTGCAATGCCTTGTAATGGACAATATTTTTAGATTTTTTTTCTGGAGAGAAAACAAATAATTCCGTTGGTTTGCCCATGCGAAAAACACGGCAATTCAAGGTTTTGTTGCCCCTCGCTTGAACTCGATGGGTTCTTCTCGAGTCGAGATCTCACTTGAGAAATTCTCATTCTGTTTACTTCTAAACGCTGCCTACTCTCTTCTTCAGGCTCATTGTCTTGAAGATTGTGAATTCGACTTGCTTTACGTGTACACTGACCGATATTTTGACGCCTCTGTGGTGGTATTATTCTATCAACAACAATAAATAACACGACGGTAAACCTCTAAACACACATCAAAACAGCATTTTGCTGTTGCTAAAGAAGTGGTAATTAAGAAGTGGTATCCAATTTGGTGTAGTCGTTTAGAAGTTATGCGCTAAATACATTTCGTCTATTAATTTTTATTTTTATTGACACAGATCGGTGCAGTCCGATGGTAATAAATAAGAACTATATACAATATACAATAAATACAATGAAAGATGTATTCCAAGGTCTTGCCAACATCCGTATAGCCCGACGGCTCGTGTAAGAATGACCGAGTACGCACAATGCAGCTCGTTTTTGTAGGTTGTAGAAAAAAAGGTATCATGAATACATTATTTTATGGTTTGTCATACTTTTTGCCCTCTCTGTCATACTTACATCTATCTAATTTGACTTAGGTACGTTTATTTCAATATCCGAGTAAGGTTTCGGAATCGACATCCTTCGTGTATTGAATACTAAGCTAATGACAGCAATTGAAAATATGTTAATGTTGAAGAAATTACGCGTGTTTCTATCTAGAGAACTGGATTTTCAATGACAACACACAGCTATACCTACTTTCCTTATTGACAATTTTTTATTAGAATCAAGAAAAAAATTCAAATCTTTATCAAAATAATACGGAAACGACAATACGACAAATATACGCCGTATTCAGCATAATTAGGTAGGTCATTACACCCATTCTAGGGAAGGTTAATTAATACGTTATATGTATACATAGTATTAGGTCTTTGCCTATAAAGTTGGAGATTTGTTTGAAAATGTTAAAATATAGACATTTTGGTTTTTTAATTAAAAAAATTATTTACACAGTTTTGGCATTTTAATGGCAGTTGGTTTATCCCTTTACTGTAGAAGTCTGATGGGCGGAAGGCGATGAAGTCAGCGAAAGCATTTTATACTGCCTCTCGGGTGTTGAATTTTCCCACTGACCAAATTTTGAAATAAGTAGAAATCTATTAGGGTCCGGTGAGTACGGTGTATGACGAAGAGCTTCCAGCTGTAACTAAGTAGCTTTGCGATGGTCTATCGTATCGTGAAGTGTGAGCTCGCGCGTTGTTGTGGAGAAGCAATAAGGAAGAGCAATTGACCCGTGGGTGTTGTTGAATTGCAACCTTCGCCATAATTATTTGCAATTGTTGGAAATGGATATCTTGTCACTGTTCTGGTCCACCAGACTGTCACCATCGTCTTCCCATGGGTAATCTTTTTTTAGCGCACTGATTAGGTTTGATTCAGAATACCATCGTTGCTATGCCGATTCAGTAATGATATGCAACATTCGACGCGTAAGTCTCGATGATGATCGCCTAGTTCATGTGGTACCCATTTATCTACCTTTATTTATATTTTCGATTTCACGCAAGTGCTTTAATGTTGATTTGACACTAACTTCAAGTTGTTGTTGTCGATTACAGTTACCGGCCGACCACGAGGCTTGTTGTTCAACTCAAAATTTCCAGATCTAAAATATTCCAATAATGGACTGTGTTTATGCAAGCACTGTTAGGCCCGTATACGTTAATATTTCGTGTTGATTGCGCATCGGTGTTTCCACGTAGAAACTCATATTCGAAAATTCTACGAATTTCCAGTTTATTCATGACGCCAAAAGCTACCACAATTTCACAAAAACAAAACACTATCTAAAACAAATGACCGAATTTAAACTAAAATAACATGGCTTTTAAAGAAAATTTCAATTGAACTTCGAATTGCGAAAAAATCTCCGACTTCATAGTCCTATTATTAGTGTATTAGTCATATAATAGTCTGTATACACAACTTATATACAGTGACCACGTGACTGACAGAAAACTCTATCACTTTTGAGATAATTTGTAATTTTGAGTACTCAAACGTGCGTTAATGTACGTTAAAATTGAATAATGAAGCTAACTTATTTCGTAAGAGA